TAATTATTGGGGATCTCTTGGTTTAGGACACGATCGATATGTCAATGACATCCAAGTGATCGACAGATTGTGTCACAAGAATATCACACAATTCTTCATTGGATACAACTTTGTGTTAGCCCTCACTCAACACAACTGTCTCTATGGTTGGGGTACTAATAATAAGGGACAGTTAGGTATCGCAAACAGGAGTGAGGTTGACTACGTTGAACCGGTAGCTTTTGATCTCAAATACATTGATAATAAGGTTATTTACCAAATAAGTTGTGAATATTATCATACATTGATCCTCACGAGTGATGGCTGTGTCTATGGATGGGGTTATAATAGGTACGGGCAGTTAGGTTATGGACCAGACAGGGATATACAAAACGGAACCATTTTTCGAGTGAATTTCAATCCAAATCACGAAATTAAAAGCATTTATTGTTGTCATTACTCTTCATTTGCCATCACATCGGAGGGACAGGTGTTTAGTTGGGGTCGAAATAGTTGGTATAATTTGGGACACAATTCATGTCAAGATATTTGGGAACCACAACTCATTGCAGACATGACGGGTATTAAGACTATCTGTTCCGGAGGTCTCACAACTTTCTTCTTATCAAATGATGGATTCATTAAGTTTTGCGGACAATATAGGAATGAAAACAATGAATATTTATTACAAATATCACCAAAAGTAGTAAATACTGATAAGAGGTTTACAGAAATGAATAAAATTACGTCATATAAGAATAACTTGTATGAGTTAAATGCTATAATGAATGGCAATATATATAATATTACAGACAAACCAAACGATAATATAATTGAAACAAATGATACAAATTTCTTCGATTGTTTCACAAATATGTATCAATTGACTCATAAAACCATTGATTTGTGTGATTATAAAGAATATAATTATCAGAATTCCGGAGAATTTTATGCAAAATGTTTGGATTATTTGGAAAAAGTATTTTCTTCTATAAAAGAGTTATCAAATAATTGTATGAATTAGGTTTATGGGGCATTCAGAAAGTACGTACAGATAGTCAGTCATTAAAATTTAAAATAAACCTTCTAAAAATTGTAACATAGCCCACGCATTTAAACAGCATTATCACTAATAACTAAAATTTTATAAGTAAAAGCCTAATCTAAATATATTCAAAATTCAAATTGAAATTAATTATGAAATTAATTATATTAACTAGAACATTTTACAATTTTATTATTTAGTACCTTATTCCAACTCATTATGTCGGTAATTTGAATTCAGAAACATTTAGAAAAAATTAAGCAAATTTTAGAAAAAATAATTTTAATTATATTTATGCAAAAATGAATAATATTCCGCATAATTATTTCTTAGTAAGCTTAAGATTTAACACTTTTCCATTCTCCCCTCATAGTATGTACTTTTTGGATTATGTTTAACAAAAATAAATGACTGAATTAATATAATTAATTTGTTTTATAGTTGTTTCCGAAGTGAGTCAATACGAGCTTATGTGCGAAGAGTTGCATTCATTAGGTTCGGGAGCTTTTGGGGAAGTATTTGTTGTTAAATGGAAATATGATGGACACGAATATGCGGTTAAGAAAATAAGATTTGAAAGTAATTTAAAGATATTTTGATATATTTAGAACTATTACAATATTAAAATATTTTATTTAATATTGTATTTGTAAATCTTCAAAATTTATCAAAATGTTTTGTAAAATTTTGATTTATTTAAAATTATCAAAATTATTATACTTACAGGTGATGACAATTTACAGGAATGTATGCAAGAAATGCAAAATTTGATAAAAGTTAGGTCAGAATATTGTGTACAATATATGGAACAATGGATTGAAAAAAATGTGTATTACATTCATATGGAGTTGTGTTCACATAGTCTGCAGAATATTCTTCAACACAAACCACAAGTATTTGGTCGACAACCGGAAGAACCCATGAATTCAATTGAGTTTTACATTTCGTGTCATATATTCAAAGAGATTTTAGAATGCGTTCAATATTTACATGAATTGAATCCTCCTGTCATTCATAGAGACCTCAAACCCGACAATATATTAGTGGCGAAGACTGTAAGGAACGGCAGGTATTTAAAAGTGGCTGACTTTGGGTTGGCGACATTGCATTTCAGTTCTTCTGGAAGTCATACCACAGGAGTGGGAACTCGACAATACATGGCACCGGAAGTCAAACTGCAAACCAAATATACACCGAAAGCAGATATTTATAGCCTGGCAGTCATTGCACACAAATTGTTTAACTTGAATGATTCTAAGTAATTATTTTGATATTTTATTTAATGACTTAATTCTTTAAAATGTATTAATATTCTTGATTACAGTTCCCCGATTGAGTTGATTATTTACTCAGGAAATGAAATATACGACAAATTCATTAAATTGGATCAAATCATTGACTCGATGTGTGTTCCCATTCATAGCACTCGACCCGAGTGTTCACAAGTATTATCGGAATATAACTTATGGTCTATTCATGAGAATTGTCTCAAAACTGATCCCACATTTGATTCCACACTAAATCTCATTCAACAAAATGATTACAAGTTTTTCAGTCAGTATTTTAAAGCTAAATACGAAGAGCTGGTTAAACATCAAAAGGCCCACAACTAGGGCTGCCAACCATTTTTATAGCCCGAGAGGACAGATTGATTAAATTGAGGACAATAAGGTCAGGAGGACATTGTGAGGACAAAAAATTATTTATAATTTTGTCTCCTGTATTCATAATAATATAAGAAACTTGTTTTAATGTCTAAAACACTTGCTATTATCCTCCAAATAATGATTTCACAATTTGCATAAATATTTTATATTCACATCAAAAATAATATTAAATATATTTACAAATTTAACCAAGGATCAAATTAATATATGAATTGTTTTGACAAATATCTCGAGACTCTCGGGAATATATCTGGTTTTTTGAGGGAATATTGTGTACAATAGAGAAAAGTATTCAAAGCCTACATAAATAATCGTTTATTTATATAGATTGTATCAAGCACACATATACCCTAGGGGTGAGTCACATATTACGTTCGCACTTTTTGGGAAATCTTAACCCCCTCTCCCTTTTATGTTCGCAATTGTTCGCATGCCTCCATGTTCAATTAAAATTACGTTCGCATGTGCTTAACCCCCCCTCCCCCCCCTCCCCTAAGAATTCAAATTCAATTCAATTTATAAATAATTT